GTTCAGCTGCTCATGCTGAGGTCTGTGCATCCAGTGAACTCCATTAAAATGTTGGCAATTTTGTCGTTTGAAATTAATTATTGTTACTGAAGTGTTACAGAAATTCCTGTGTATAGGGAACACTTACACTAGCACAGTAAAATTAATTGCTTTCCAAGGGTAAATGTCAACAATATAATGATGCCTGCTGTAGCTGCCAACATTGAGACAAGCTTTCCAATGGATAATTTTCCAAATAAGCCAGGGATCTAGTGGCCACTAGGCCCCCAACCACTGAAGAAGTCTATGTGCATTGTAGTGAATTTTAGCACTCATGTAGCACTATATTGAACACCCAATTCTGCCACCTTTATTAATGTCAAACAGTGCTCTGCTGGATGATTGGCCCCACTGATTTTATGAGGTGTCATTAGCAAGTGTGGGTTTGAGAGTGGTCCTACGCAAAAACATAGCATTTTCAGATGCATGTTAGAAATGAAAAGTGATGAGTTAAGGGAGATGTCGGTAAATTGCATGACTGAGAACTGACACACCAAAAGTAAGATTGCCAGCTGACCCAATGTGCAATAGCAGATCTCCTAGACAGTGAATTGGTAATATCTGAGTGAAAAAGCCTAATAGGATGAGGCTTGAGGAGTAGGGTCACCAGATGTCCCCATTTTATAGGGACAGTCCCAATATTCAGGTCTTTGTCTTATGTAGGTGCCTATCACCCCCTAGCCCCTGTCCTGATTTTTCACACTTACTATCTGATCACCCTATCGAGGAGAAGCTTTTTAATATAGCCAGGACCTATTCAGCTCAGGGGGTTAAAAAACAGCAGGGCCAGCTCAAAGAATCTTTCACTTTAAAGGCAGCTGTTTCATGTATTGTGTGCTAGGTAATAACATGAAAGTATGAAGTGTTTCTAAAACTAAACTGGCTCTTGATTGAGAGAACTTTTTATAAAGGTACTGCAACTGCAGCTAGCATTCAAGCCATGGGCACAAAGACTGATTTCCTGGTGCCTCTTCCAAACTCTTCTGTCCTGCAACATGCGCTCCTACAAGCTTCATGCAATTGCTACAGCAACCAGTGTAAAAAAACCTCAAGGTGAGCACAGCATCCACCACTAGCTTCTCAGTTTTGTGAGGAAAGTTGCTGCTTCATTCTGTGTGACCTGCAGGCAATAGAAAAGCCTTTCTGGTGAAAGCCCAACTTTTCAAGAATTGCATCAATGAATTCCTGTCTTTTAGGTATCGTTCAAACCACTGGGGATGATTTTAGACACATCAGCACCATTTCTGGGCCATGGAAGCAGTGCATTCCAATAAGCAGCCAAATTTCTACTTCTCAAATGTTTTTGAAGTATGGTTCAGAACAGGGTATTCCTGATGTGAAGAAGGCTATTTAAAATTATCCACACATCTTTTATGACCCTCCAGGAAAGATTCTGATGGAGAAATCCAAAGCAAAACCAGGAATTCCAAATTACTTCAGAATGATTGAATGTCACTGAGGTAATGGCCTTGCACAATAAGACTAGCCAAGGGAACAGCAATTAGCCTCCTGGTTCAAGTGGGTGTATCTGCAACTATGCAGGTTCCAGAGCATTACCATTTTCCCTGTGTGCAGCTTTATTGGGAAAAACTGTTAAAAATGCCAGGTCTGCTCTTAAGTTTTTGGTCTAGTTTACCTTAATTCACATAAAACTTGGGTAAACTTTGGTCTGATTTCTTATGACCAAAATAGCTGCCCTGCAAACATCTACATCATCATCTGGGAACAGTAGCTTTACAATTACTAGAGTTAGACCATCAGCCAGTGTAAATCTCCATTGATTTCAAGCTCCTTGAAGTCAATGGAGCAATATGATTTACACCAGTCCCTACTTTTTAAGATACTGTGTTCTTCTTTTGTTTTATGAAAAGCTTCACTGATAGGTGGCTTATACAAAGTTTTATTGGCGAAGGCATTTTTAACAGGTGGCTTGGAGGGCCAGGCAGCCTAGTGGTTAGAGCTGCTGGCTTTCAGCCCCCTGCTTGGTTGAGGCGCCTCAACCAAGCAGGGGGCAGAGAGCCAGCAACTCTAACCACGAGGCTGCCTCGCCTCCAAGCCACCTTTTACAAATGGAATAAGGGGACACGGTTTCTTCCTCTCTACCAGGTCCCAGCCCAGGGCCCTGTGTACATCAACCCCGGAACAGGGGAGTGGGGGGGAGGAGAAGGGGGAAGGTGCCCCTCCCAGCAAGGAGTCAGAATCCGCTTCCCTGGGCCACTTCCTACCAGTCTGTTCAGTTTGGGGCATGGCCTCTCTAGTCCAATTTCCTGGGTGGCCTGTTTCCCATAGGGTTCCCTCTTGGGTCTTGGATAGCGTCTTGCCGCAGTCCCAGGCTTCTTCATGTTGAGCAGCCGTCAGCTGGTGATGGTGAGCCCCACAATGTCTCTGGGGTTCGCTCACTCAGTTACCTTAGGTGCTGGAGGCTCCTTCACAGTTTCCCTTGGCTGGTGCTTACTCCCAGATTGGCTGCAGGTATAATGGGGCAAGGCTTGCTGAGCCAAAAGGCTCTCTTTAACCTGTGCTGTGCTACTTCATCACAGTCTACCCATAAACTGCCATGCACTTCCCTTCTTTTATAAGAAAGGAATATTTAAAGAAGGGGACTGGTTAGCAATGTTTTATGGGTGATGGTGGACATGTTAGCTCTGATCATTACTATTTCTCTCATGCAAGTATTTGATTTCACCTGTGCCTACGTGCCTGGATAGACCCAACCAACATGCTGCTGTGTTTTTATATAGTTCTTCATTTTTCCCTTATGAATCATACATATCTCATGTACCCCAAATAACATATGAGATTATCTGCAAAATGACATACCATTGCCTGAATAAATCCTTCATTTTATGGGACCTTTTATCACTTCGTTTTCCCCCCCAACTCAAGAAGACATCCTGGGAATTATTCACCTCTTTATTTACAGAGGTTTTTACACATGCTGCTGTAGCAATACCATCTCATGCAATAATCACAGCAACCTCACCAGCTAAACAAGGTATGGCTAGATCAGAGATTGTATGGGAGACCTTCAAGGAACATCTAGTGACATTAGAAAAGTATTGCCACTGATAACAGGGGAAAAAAGGTTACTATCCAATCAGTTCTGAACCATGGAACTGTTATAGTTGGTGTATAGGAGTATTGTGCTGCTGAAGGTGGTGCCTTCCTACCAAAATGTTCTCCACAGCTTCACAGTGATCTAGTATTTGCCTTCACTTCCCACTTCTACACTTCTTCTTCTACACTACAAATAGGCTGAAACTGTAGGAGGGGTAGAAACTCTTATGTCTCAAGACATAAGTTAGCCATTGATTGCAGGGGTTAAAAAAAACTTAAGTCCTGGGCAATTCATTACATAATTGTCCATTACTGGGACTTTAGACCATACTGTTCAGCAAAACTTTTAACAGTAAAAAAAAAAATGAACCATTAGAACACCGTGTGGGATGTGGTAGATTTTCCATCACTTGATGTTTTTAAAATTGGGATTTGGATGAGTTTCTAAAACATATGCTCTTGCTCAAGCACAAGATATAGGCCTGTTGAAGGAATTACTGGGTGAGTTCTATGGCCTGTGCTATTACAGGAGGTCAGACCAGATTCTCAGAATGGACCTCGCCTTAAAATCTATGAATGGAGGCAGGATACTGGCTACAGTGATCATTGGTGTGATCTAATAAGGCAACTTCTATGTTTCTAACCTCTTATAGCATGCATTGCTCAGCAACCCCAGATGTTCTACCCCAGAGACAGATCATTTTACCTGCCAATGATATGCAATCATATGTATATCCTTCATCTACCTTAGAGGCATTCTGGGGCTTAATTAATATTTGTTATAACACTTTGATATCATCTAATGAAAGGTGCTGTATAAAGTATTATTACAGTTTTCTAAACTTGCATACCTTCTCTCAAAGTGACTCCAATTGCATAACTATCATTTCCCCCCCTCAGAACAAGAGAGAGGACGTCTGTGACTAAAGCACTAATGAACAGATTTGTATTCATTATTTTCAAATGTTCTTTAAAGAAGCAGTTCAAGTCCAAGGCTTCAAGGAATCTCAACTGGATTATTGAAAAATGTTTAGAATTTGTAATATCTATTCATTCCCCTAGAGCTGCTGGAACTCATCAACAAAACAATGCACCAAATTCTTAGTTCTAACTCAGTGCAAGTGACAAGATCCTTTAGGAACTGGGGTCTAATGGTTAGATCTGAGAGCCTGAATGTTAGGCTTCTATTTCTGGCTCAGCTGTTATTTTACAGAAGTATCTCTGCAAGACACCAACTTCCCAAGCCACTCCCTTATTTCTAGGGTGACCATATTTCCCAAAGTGAAAATGGGACACCGTGCAGGACTCGTCCGAGCCGCCTGGTGTGGCCTCTCACCCAAGCCCCACTGCCCAGTGCTGGGGCTGACAGCCTGAGGCTGGGTGCCTGGCGTTGCTGTACACATGTGCCCCTAGGGGGCATGCCTCACTTTTTTTTGGCAAAACTGGGCTTTTGTCCCATTTGCTTTTGCCAACTGATAATCAGTTGCCAGCCAGGCACAGTTAAGACCTATAGGACCTTGTGCACGATTTTTAAAAATGGATCCTAAAGTTGGATCCTAAACCCTTCTTTAGTCTCCTAAATAAGTGATGCAAAATTGCTCAAAATTGCTGAGTACTCAGCACCCTACAGTGAAGTCAATGGAAACTGCTGGGTGCTCATTGCTCAGTCATGTATATCAGTCATGAAAATCAGATTATTTAGGACCCAAATCTCATCTTAAACTTCCCTGTGAAATGGGAATAACACCTGTCTTCCCAGGGGTTTTGTAAGATTTAGTGATATATTAATTAATTAAAGAGCTTGTGGATCCTCAGATGATTGCAAAGCACTATTACCATTTGCAAATCTAGAATTTTACTATGAATATATGTATTGTTTTAATAAAATCTGCTTCTCTGAACAGGGTTACTAAAGAAGGCTGGTATCTGTATGCAGACAGTTCAAATGGAGAATTTGGTCATATTGCTGACATTGCCACTCCAGTCATTTCGCTCACTGGACCCAAATGCAAACTGGTATTTTGGAACCATATGAATGGTGCAACAGTGGGTTCTCTGCAGGTACTGAAAAGACATTAGAGTTTTCTGAAATTACTGTATAAAAAGTCATGCCCTATCATTTAGTTTCATCAAGTCTAGACTGCTAATAAATGATAATGAACAATTATCCACACTTCACTGCCCCCAATATGGTGTGACCGAGGGAAGTGTTAGCTGGAGTAAGCTCCTGAAATGGTAACTTTTTACAGCATGGATGCAGCTTCTGTACAAGTAAAGCTTTGTGCTGCATAATCTCTTTTGCTACTAAAATACATTGAGTGAATATCTGAACATCAAGATCTTTGGCTGTGACCAAAGGGTTACAATATGAAACTATCTTTTGTTAGTTGGGTTGTTTTTAATTGGCTCGTCTGTGTGATTTCCCCTTGAGGTTTCATTCCTATTGTTGCTTAATTTGATTGAAACAAGCCGGATCGAGATTTTACTAGCATTTAACAATAAAAAATATTTTACCCTTACCCCATTCTGCACACCACTGTAAAAAGGAAAGCATATAGGTTTAGTTTATACAAATACCTAACTCATTTAACAGCATATTGACCCAATTCATCTGAGCTAAGAGAATAAAACAGGGAAACAATTCTAGACAGGTTTTATTGCAGCAAGTATAAATAATTGTTATGGGGTTATAAATGTATAGTATAGAACAACAGCAGCATTTCAAAAATGCGTAGTAAAAATATTTCGGAAAAAATACACAAAGGCCAGCTCCTCAGCTGCTGTAAACTGGCAAAGCTCCATTGACTACTCAAATACTACAAGTACTTTAAAAAGGATGCTGAAAAACTGGATAAAGTTAAGAGAAGAGCCACAAGAATGATTCGGTCTGGAAAACAGTCCTAACAGTGAGAGATACAAGGAGCTCACCCTATTTAGCTTATCAAAGGGAAGGTTAAAAGGGGAGTTGATGATGATCTATAATTATTTACAGAGGGAGAATATACCTGATACTAGAGGGCTCATTATTTTAGCAAATAAAGGTATTACAAGATTTGATGGCTGAAAGTTGACATCGGCAATGTTCAAACTGAGAAATAAGATTTTTTTACTAGCGAAGATAACTCACTACTAAAAACAAGGGATGTGGTAAATACTCCATCACCCACAGTCTTTAAACCAAAATTGGCTCTCTTTCTAAAAGGTTTGTTTTAGTTCAGCCACAAGTTATTGGGTTGGATGCAGGAATCACCAGGTGAAATTCCAAGGTCTGTGTTAAGTGGAAGGTCAGACTCATATTGTTCCCTTCTGGCCTTAAAAATCTGTTATGAATCTGTCTGTGATTCAAAAATATTGGAACTAACTAATCATGGAGCTTTCATTTAACTGTTTTGGTAACAATCAAAAGCTCTTTTCCAGTGCCTTGTTTGGGAATAAATTGGAAATGCTTTCCTCACTAATATTCCAAGGTCTGGTATCAGATTAAAAACTTGTGGTCAAACTCTGAATTAAGTACTCTCCCGCTTACAATATGCACATCTATCCAGTAGAAACATTCTGTTACAAACATAAAAACAGTTGCATAATTGAATTGCCATAAAACTGCATTTTGTATCTGCAAAGCAAGGTGGCCAAACTTTCTCAGCTTTCTACTTTATCGTTATTAGCTGCTGGATGTAGGTGTAACTTACTAGGAGAAAGAAACAGATAAGGGAGACAAGCTGGAGGTTTAAATCAGGCATTCTCAGTGTAATGAGGATTCAGAACTGGTCGTATATCCCCCTAATAGGCCTTCATCCTGCAAAGTACTGAATATTCCAGGCCTGATCCAGCAAAACATTTAAGCATGTGTGTAACTTTAAGCATATGAATAGGCACATTGGCCTAAGTAGTAGTATTCACATTCTTAATGTTATGTATGTATTTAAATACTTTGTTAAATAAGGGCAAGAGTTTTCAACTTATGGCAAGATTACGCCCACAGCCACTATTAATGCATGCTAGCGAGTTTTGGTTTGATTACTGAGGTACATCTGAATCAATGAGGCCTGGAGCCCACTTTTTCCTTGTGACTTCCTTAATGGACCTCTCTTCCCACTGCCTCACTTTTTGTTCTCTTTGTCACTTTCCTATATGTAGCTTAGGATCCAACATTCACCCAAACCCATACATATATAATTCTGTGTTACCTAATCCTCCATCTTGCTTTTCTCATGGACAGAGGGAAGAACACAAGGGAAGCAGTGGAAGCATTAACATTCCTAACTCCTTAAGTTAGTGGAGCCGAGATGAGTCAGAACCGGAGTCCTAGATCCAAACACCTCTCAAATTTTGGGGACATTCATATTTGGATCCAGTCTTGGCATCTCAGGCCCTTCTTGTAGGACAGGGTATGGGGAGATTGAACCCCCCAGAATTACATGTGGAGGGGAACCTCCGTGCATGGATCCCCACCTCCTGCACAAAAGGGGGGCTCAGACATGTCCGTGGTACCACCCTGCTTTGCCTCCCACCTTGCTGAGGTCTCACCATTCATCCAGCGATCCACATAGCATGGAGAGAGGAGGGAGCTGGGTGCACTAGGTGTGTGTGTGTGTGTGTGTGTTGGGCGGGGGGGGGGGGGATGCCATAGAGAACATAAGCCATTCTCCACTGATCCTACAGAAAAGGAAATTCAGCCTGGAGCAGAATTATTTTTTCTGTATTAGCCCCTTCGCAGGGGAATTCCCATCTATACAATGAATGAATGCAAGGCAACTCTGATAGAGCCATTCTGCCAGGATGCAGAGGGGTGGGCAGCACTGCAGCTGTGGAGGCACAGGGCCACTGTGAAGATTAAATCTGATCCAAAGTCCATTGAAGTCCATGGCAACACTCCAGTTGACATTAGTGGATGCAGGATAAGACCCATGGCTCTGGCGTCTTACTCATCCCCCAAGAACCACATGGATCCCACGGGATCAACAGAGTTTCAAGGCAGATCCACAGACATTTTTGCAGGAGGTGGGGGAAAATCCTGTTTCTTCCCGCTGCGAACTCCCTCCCTCCCCCCCCGCTCCGCACACACAGTATTACGATGTGAAGGAATCTCTGTAAGAACAAACTCAGTTTTCTTCTCCTTGAGCTCCCCATCCATGCTTCTTGGACTGCCACCCAATCCTTTGTTAAGGAGGTAGGCCTCACGTCTTCTGTTCTGTAGTCCTCAGCCATTATAAGGAAAATCATAGGGCTTCTAAGCCTTTTCTACCTGTAACTGAGCTATTTTTCTTTTGTGGAAAGGTTAGAAAAAGGGAAAAGTCATGAACGGGTTATGTTGTGTGAATTTTAAACCATGTCACTAAAACCACTGTCAAAATTCAGGTAAATAAAACCACAGAATAATAACAACTGACACTGAGGTGATGTGATATTAATTTGTTGCTCTATCATCCCCTCTGAGCTAGTATAATCTGACTATATCTTTATTAAGTACTTCTGTCATACTTTTCCTTCCCAGGGCTCTCTTAAGCTTGAGTCTTTTCAAAGATTAGACATTTCTCACATTTTAAAAAAATAAAATAGATATACTTGGATTTAAATGGGTCATAAAATATGATGGCATTTAGTCTTTACAAAGGTATGACAACTGGCAAGAAATGGCAGAAAGTTTGAATTTCTAGTGAAAAGCTTGGACTTGCCCATTAAGGAATAGTATTTGACCTTGGAAAATTTACATCCAAGTCAAATTGTGCTTTTTTAGAAGATCATAGTTATTCTCATGTTATATAACAATGAAAACATGTAGATGTATTATAATGTACATTTCTGTTTTCTCCATTATTTTTACCTATTTCTGTAAGCCATTATTGATGGAGAATATCTGTAGACTCTTTCCTTTCTTGTCACTCCTCATGCCTGGAAAATAATATCCCCATCCTCTGTTTAAAAAAAAACAAAAAAAAAACACTTCTGAAACCCCATGTGTTCTGTGAAGCATCTCACCATGCACCACTGTGTCTGTCTTGTGTGTTTAATGTATTGCACTCTTCCCTCTTGTGTCTCTAGAGTGAAAGCTCTTCAGGGCAAGGACCCTGTTATTCATTTGGCACAGCTTACCTGTTGGACAGCATCACATACGCTTCTGGGACTACATAAATTTTCAAAAATGCCAGTTTTTCATTAAAGTGAAAAACGTCTAGGTCATCCTAGATCTCAAAAATAGGATTACACTGTGAGGGGGAGGATGATAAATCCTTGAGAGGAGAGGCAGTTCTGGAAACAGGGGATGTAATGTAGTTTTGTCAGTATTGACTGGAGAGACAGCTTGACATGCTCCATCTACTTGATATTGTCAGCTCCGTTCAATTCAGATGCTCAAGAAGTCAGAGAGAAGCACATTTAGGAATGCTGCTCGTGTGGAGAAGTGACTCTCCAATTCAGCTACTATTCACTGAGGCAAGACATTAGGAGGATATTTTGTGCACCTGCCATGGTCCAAACAGATCAAGTTCTCTGTATTGAGAGGATAAATTTATGGATAAATGGGATGTTTCCTGTGTAGTTGGGACACCACAACACTCCTAGAACTACAATGGAATAATCTAATAGACATATGAACTCTTAGACCTTTTATTACTCTTGCCATTAAGATTATTTTCTTTATTGCATTCATGGGTCCTGAACCTATCGGTTGCTGAGCATCTCTTTTTCGCGGCTGAGTGCTCTCTACCCCTATTCAGATCAATGGCAATAAAAAGAACTGAACTCAGCATGCACACAGGACCTGCTCAGAACCTGTAGCATCAGGCTCACAGACTAGTAGATCACACTCATGATTGTTTTCCACTGATGATTTTAAAGTGTGGGATAGGGGTTAATTTAAGTGCAAACTCCGACTGAAATAACTATATTTATATTAATGAGTTGAGAAAGATTTGATGTGACCTGGAATTCACAATTTCTCTTCCAGGTACTCAGTAAAATTGGTGATGTAATTTCTGTCCTGTGGGTTCAAAGTGGCTCCCAAGGTGCTCAGTGGAACAGAGCAGAAGTGTTCTTAGGAATTCGCTCTGATTTTCAGGTTTGTGCTTCTATTTCATATGTCCCCCATTAAATCAATTCTAGATTATATTTTAGCTTAATCATTCCCCATTTGCACCCTACACACTTTGTAGCTCTTCAATTCACATTGGTCTTCTGAATATTAAGAACAAAATCATAGAATATCAGGGTTGGAAGGGACCTCAGGAGGTCATCTAGTCCAACTCCCTGCTCAAAGCAGGACCAATTCCCAACTAAATCATCCCAGCCAGGGCTTTGTCAAGCCTGACCTTAAAAACCAGTAAGGAAGGAGATTCCACCACCTCCCTAGGTAACCCATTCCAGTGCTTCACCATCCTCCTAGTGAAAAAGTTTTTCCTAATATCCAACCTAAACTTCCCCCAGTGCAACTTGAGACCATTACTCCTTGTTCTGTCATCTGGTGCCACTGAGAACAGTCTAGATCCATCCTCTTTGGAACCCCCTTTCAGGTAGTTGAAAGCAGCTGTCAAATCCCCCCTCATTCTTCTCTTCTGCAGACTAAATAATCCCAGTTCCCTCAGTCATGTGCTCCAGCCCCCTAATCATCTTTGTTGCCCTCCGCTGGACTCTTTCCAATTTTCCCACATCCTTCTTGTAGTGTGGGGCCCAAAACTGGATGCAGTACTCCAGATGAGGCCTCACCAATGCCGAATAGAGGGGAATGATCATGTCCCTCGATCTGCTGGCAATGCTCCTACTTATACAGCCCAAAATGCCATTCGCCTTCTTGGAAACAAGGGCACACTGTTGACTCATATCCAGCTTCTCGTCCACTGTAACCCCTAGGTCCTTTTCTGCAGAACTGCTGCCTAGTCACTCGGTCCCTAGTCTGTAACAGTGCATGGGATTCTTCCGTCCTAAGTGCAGGACTCTGCACTTGTCCTTGTTGAACCTCATCAGATTTCTTTTGGCCCAATCCTCTAATTTGTCTAGGTCCCTCTGTATCCTATCCCTACCCTCCAGCGTGTCTACCACTCCTCCCAGTTTAGTGTCATCTGCAAACTTGCTGAGGGTGCAATCCACGCCATCCTCCAGATCATTAATGAAGATATTGAACAAAACCGGCCCCAGGACCTACCGTTGTGGCACTCCGCTTGATATCAGCTGCCAACTAGACATGGAGCCATTGATCACTACCCGTTGAGCCCAACGATCTAGCCAGCTTTCTATCCACCTTATAGTCTTCTCCCTGGTCCCCAGACCACGTATCTCAGCTGTATGCTAGTGAAATCTATGAGGGAGGGAAGAGAGGTATACTTCAACCCAGCCCCTGGAGCATCTCCATCGCTGCTACTCCAGCTTAATGAGTGGAGGCCCTAATGGCATGATAACCCCCAGCATACTCTTTCTAAGGTGGAAGGATCCATGTAGCTGCAGAACCTCCCCTAGCCCTGAACCCCACTTGTGTGACAGCTTCCCCAAATTCTTTGTCGGGGGGCATTGCCAGGGTTGGGGATAGGGTCCTAGGTCCCAGCCCTGTGTCTCCACACAAATACACACCCACCCTCCCTCCTAGGAGTCAGTGTCAAGCACCACACTTAACAATTGAACAACAATTTTAGCTAAGCCAGACAAAGCCAGAAGTAGACTCAGCACAGGATCTCTGGCAGGTGTTATACATACTCGCTTGTCCCAATACAGCATACAACACATCCCCACCCCCAACACCTAGTGCTACACACACACACCCCTCTGCCCCACAGCAATGCAACTCCCCATCCCCCTTGGGTCAGTCCAACCTATCCATCCATTCTGATACTGGCCTGGGTTGTGAGCTCAAGCTGGTGGGTTCTGCCGTGTGGTCTGAGGTGTCTTGTTAGCTCTAGTCTGTGCATCTATAAGAGTTCCCTTCTCCAAGCACCAGTGTAGCAGCTGGCTCTCCTCCAAGCAGCTCCTAGTTCAGACTCTGCATCCCTACACTCTCCTGTGTCTCTGCCCCAGCTCAGCACTGCTGCTCTTGAGCTCTTTCTTCTCTCTCCAAATCTTCCTGGGCTTGTCCCCCATCCCCATCTGTTCGTTGGCTCAGAACCTCCCACGGTGTCCTTGTTTTGGAGTGGCACTTCCCCACTGGCCAGTCAGGTTTGCACAGAGTAGCAGGGAGGGGAGAAAGGAAGGGTGGGGTTGGGTAAAGGTTGGATTTGGATGTGGAGCTCAGAGGGATAGAGAGTAGGCTGAGGAGCTGGGGAGAGACGGGACAGGCAAAAGCCACACACCTCTGCACAAACACCAACACTCCCTTCTAGAGGGTCAGTATTAACTACTGCAACAAGCACCAGGCTTAACAAGAGAACAACAGTTTTATCTAACCAAGGTAAAGCCAGGAGTTAGACTTGGGTCAGGATTCTAGCAGGAGTTTACAGACTCCCCTGCTCTTGATACACAATAAGAGCATAAGAACGGCCATACTGGGTCAGACCAATTGTCCATCCAGCCCCGTATCCTGTCTTCCGACAGTGGCCAATGCCAAGTGCTTCAGGGGTAATGAACAGAACAGGTAATCATCATGCGATCCATCCCATGTCGCCCATTCCCAGCTTCTGGCAAACAGAGGCTAGGGGCACCATCCCAGCCCATCCTGACTAATAGCCATTGATGAACCTATCCTCTGTGAACTTATCTAGTTCTTTTTTGAACCCTGTTATAGTCCTGGCCTTTACAACATCCTCTGATGAGGAGTTCCACAGGTTGACTGTGCGTTGTGTGAAGAAATACTTCGTTTTGTTTTAAACCTGCTGCCTATTAATACACAGTATATGACCCCCCTACACCTGGCTAGGCACACACAGACTTTTTGCTCCGTGTCAGTGCAACCCTCTGCCCCACCCCAGCCTGTTGGGTCAGTCCAACCTATCTGAGTACTCTGATGCTGCCATGCACTGTGAGTTCAAACTGGTGAGTCTTGCTGTGTTTTCTCAGCTGTCCTGTCAGCTCCAGGCTGTGTGTCTGTAAGATTCCCCTTTTTGCAAGCATCAGTGCAGCAGCAGCAGCTGGCTCTCCAAGCACCTCCGAGTTCAGACTCCGCACCCCTGCACTCTGGTGTCTCTGCCTCAGCTCAGTGCTTCTGCCACTGCAAGCACTGCTCTTTCTTTGTTGTCTCTCCAAATCTTCCTGGCTTTGTCCCCCATCTGGTCATTATCTCAAACTCTCCCTGGTGGTCCATACTTCATCCTATGGCCTCCTTTTGGAGTTGCACTCCCCAGCCAATCAGGTTTGTGCAGAATAGTGGGGAGAGTGAAAGGGTGGGAGAAGGGAAGGGGAAGAGGGTCACTCTACCCAGTCCCATCCCTGTCTTTCCCTTGTGTGGCAGAACTGTGCTGATTCCACTCCAGAAGGGTCTTCTGTACTCATGGAAGGTAGGCGCAGGATTTTGTCCCAAGTGATGCTAGTTAATATTTGTGCAGCACTTTTGCAAATATAGCACCATACCATATAAATGGTAAACATAAGCATCAATGCATTTGGGTTGTGACTGATTCTTATTCATATGTTTATTTAAATATCTGCCTAAAACATCTGATTTTACACTCTTCAGAATATAAACAAAAAAATTTCCAGCACAAATGAAATCACTGGGAAGTTTTGCATTGATTTCAAGGGGAACGGGATCAGCCCCTTGCTTTCTAACTGTACACTTAATGTATTTTTCTTTTTTGCCCTCTGTTATTGTAGGATTGTGGCTCCTCCAATAGCTACAGTATCAACCTTTGAGGCATAAACCAGCACTGATTCATGTTTATGCAGCTTATATTTACATCAGTAAGAACTGAGAGCAGTATCTAGTACTAAACATTTAGAAGACTTGGGCAACTTGCAGGAAGCATAGATACATCATGTTTTGTATACCACACATGGCGTGTTTCAAGCTTTTATACTTTTCCCTCAATATTTCACTGACATTTCTCTTTGTTAGATTATTTTCAGGGCAAAACGTGGTGTCAGTTATGTGGGAGATGTGGCAGTGGATGATATTTCCTTTGAAGATTGTTCCCCTTTGCTGATCCAAGACAGACCCTGCACTTCTGAAGAATTCACATGTGCCAATAAGTATTGCATCCCAAAGGATAATCTGTGTGATTTTGTGAATGACTGTGCTGATAACTCAGATGAGAGCCCTAACATTTGCAGTAAGTATGGTAGTTCCTTACTCTAATTATCAAAAGTAACTGTGCCTGCTGTGAATTGTTAATGCAGCAACACTATTGGCAGTTCATCAACGAAGAAATTAAAAGTGAGGTTAATAATGTAAGTATATTCCTTGTGTTAGTGGGTTTTTTCTCTGTTTAATTTGAAAGCATGTCTTGCAAAATAAAATTTGCTGCTCACAGATTTTTCCTAACATAAATTAATTCAGAGAACAGCTCTGCCTTTTAAAACAAACAGAACCAAATCATTGTTTTCCACATGAAAAAATAAAAGCAAAAAAGATGTCAAGCAAAATACATCTGGGATTTTAGGAACCTTGCTTACTTTGATGTTTCAGGAATTGTCAAGTCTCTTAGCTCTTTCATGAATATCAGATAACTTTAGTTTTGCAGCAGAAATCAACAAACAGTATCTTCAGTCTAGAATTCAAAAACAGCACTTCATATCAAAAGTGTACTTCTCTAGAGAATTGAATCACACTATACTCTATTTCAGTATTGCTGGCAGACTCTTTCATCAATAAAATCTTGGTTAATTCTCATTCAGGCAAATCTCCATTGTTTGGTACACTACAAACAGCTGTTTCATTGTAAATGTTATGAACACAGCTCATCAAAAATTAGATTATGACAAAGAAGGAATCATTCAGTAAACACCAGGTCAGATTCTCAGTTAGAGGAAATCAGTGTAATGTCATTTAAAATCATTTGAGCTGTGCTGATTTATATCCGCTGAGGATTTGACCCACTGTTTCTGGTTTCTGCACTGAAAAACATTTTCCTTGGTCTCCATGAATGGTGATATCAGTGTAGACATACTGGGACTGATTCTGATTTCACACGGCTGTAAACCAGGAGTAGAGCAGATTGAAAATTTGAATTCCCATCTTGTGGAAAATTCTAATAGTTTCACATTTGTTTTGATTCTGAATTCGGATAAAAAGTCAAAATATCAATATTTTTTGTAGAACGGAAAGTTCTAAAATTTTTGTTTCAGAACAAACAATATTTTGGTTTGCAAATGTCACTTATTTTCAGTGTTTTCAATTGAAATTAAATGATTCAACATTCCCAAATTGAAATGTTTAGTTTAATTTGTTGAACCAAATCAAAGCATTTCGTTACAGCTTAATTACACATTGAACTGCTGCAGTGCCTCCTGGTGATTGTAGTTCGGTGCCTCATGTCCTCATTCTTTGTATGGGTCAGGCTCCCCTGTGAGACTGCATTTCCCATGATGCACTGTGGTGGTTCAGCCAGATAGGAAACAGTGGAGCATCATGAGAAAAGTGATCCAGCTGGAGAACCCATTCCATAGAGGAGAGTGGGGACATGAGGCACCATGGCACTGCAGGCAGACCCACGTTAATGCTGAACTGATCCAAAATGAAACACTTCAATTCAGTTTGAAAAAGTTAAATGGTTAGCTTTTGGTTGACCCAACCTGAAACTAAGTATTTTGTTTTGATTTTCCTGACAGAGAAGTTGAAACATTTTGGCAAAATTGAAATATTCCTGCAGAAAATTTTGCTTTTGTGGAAAGCACATTGTCTGTCAAAACAAACAGATCCTAGACATTTGGCTGGAACATTCCTAATTTACTGTAAAAAAGAGGAATTCCAATAAAGTCACTGGATTTAAACACTGGAATGGCCCCAATTGAGAGAGCAGGGCCAGAATCAGCCCTAAAGTTTCTATAGCAGTGTTCATTAGACATATGGCCTAATTTCATGCAACTGTTAAATATGTAGAGCCAGCTAATGATCCCATTCCTTTGGTTTAGTAACACCTTATTCCATAAGATGTTCAATAAGAGTCTCAGAGTCTGACCCTAAGTATCACCATAAAACACAGACTTGACGAAATGGTCAACTTAACTTAGCCTTACATTTCCTTGTCATTGTACTTTGCAACATTTATGTTGCCTTAACAATGTGTGTGGTGTTTTGTTTTTTCTTAGTGGTTTTTTCTTGCATTTAATAGGTGCTATAGTGTACTAGTGTTTCCTTCCCTTTTCTGATACTTTTCCAATGCGAAAATTAGAGAACAGCTAGCTATAATTTGCCAACAAGAGAACAATGGACAGAAATGTCTCCTGTGTGTTCCCCTTGCCCCTGAGGACATTATTTCTGTAACATATCCTAATGTGACTTTCTCTGGTAACAGTGCCTCCTAGCCTCCTTTTCACATCCTCTTCTCTTCACAGCACTGAATGTTAACAGATGAAATTCTTCGAGACTGGAGCTAGAATATGGAGACTTCAGTTATTTTTCATGAAATCATCTTTAAAAAACTGCTTTTAAAAATACATAAACAGCAGCCACCACACTCATTAAAATCTTGGTCACTAAAGTGAACAGCAGATGTTGGCATCATAGTTTAATTTTCCTTTGAACTAACTGAAGGACCGTATAATCAAATCTAATCTGCAGCATACAATAAATAGTTCATCAGCTTGCTTCTGCTCTCAGTAAATTTCTGTGACTCTATAACTTTTAATAGTCACTTCTTATATTTTAAAATTTGGTTACCAGATCAAAGACATAAGCTTATCAGCTACAGGTTAATCAGTACTGCACAAACAGAATGAGACAATATCGAAAAACATTTATTGAAGAAAGCATTCACCTTTGTGAATATGGTGAAAAATCAATTGAAATGGCATATAAAAATTGTGGCTTGGGTCCTGAATCTTTATCTTACCTTGGATGATGATGATAACAAATAAAGATTAGATTGTTTTTTTTTCAAGGCAAATTTCCCAAAAGAAAAGAACAGAAAAAATGTACCTACATTTCTAATTCTGTGTACTCATTTAAACAGTACAAAATAAGTTATGTATTTGATTGACTCCATTTCCATTCTAGAGACAAATATAAATCAGCCCCTAATATTGCTGACTGCTCAAATTTACAGTCTAATAGGTTTTTGTTTGGGAAAAAAAATTGGCAGTGAATTTGATAGTAGTGAAAGTGGGGCCTTTATAGCTTTGGTTTGAGCCTACACAAAAGGGATATAAGCTAGGCAGATGCTATACAGTCTTCCCCACAAACTTCTCTCTGTGAGTGTTAACATGATTTCCTGTGCAATCCCAGTTTCAACTCACAATGGAGACTGCCAAGCGTGGTAGATTAGTGGTTTTTTGCTGAAGAAAAGTATCCACTAGGCTATATGCTGAGATCACAAAACTCATTTTGATTCATTCTTTCAGGTCACCAGAAGTATCAGATTAGTACATGCTTATGCCCGCTGCAATTTATCCTCAAGATTTCTCATCTCTCAGTTCTTGTTTCCTGGTGAAACTTCTGTGTAAACCAGATTTAGGTGGTCATTCTGTCAGTAATACTTGGGACTGATGGCTTTGGATTGGCTGTTGATGTGGCTTGGCAGAAGAAAATTCCCATAAATATGAAACAAATTTAAGTAAAAAGAAAAGCAATCCAGATTTTTCACTTAGATATTGCTTTTTCTGTAAATATTTATGGTTACAAAAGATTTTGGGCCCAATTACTATTACAATACTTAGTTTTATGGTATGCATATCCTATTCAACCGTTCTCATGGACAATAACAAGGGTTTTGTTTTCATGTCATAATCCAGGTCTGACCTTTCAACTGTGAGCTTTTTTCCAGTTTTATGTCATGGTAAGGTCTATCCTAATTTACCCCAGAAAAGTGCTGTTTCCATTTTTTTTCATTCTGTAGGCTGCCTCATAACAGACAGCCATTAAAAGACCCCTCCCCCGCCACTGATTGTTTGTCACAATTGTTCATTCTGTGGAGCCACCAGAGAAGGATCCCTTCACCAACTGCTAAGCCACAAATGACCGTTTGAAAACGACTGCCCCAGGGGTCTTAGGTCTGTGCTGGCTTCTGTGAAGTCCTTAGAGGAGAAAAGTCTGCAGGCTTCAAGTGCAGAAAACCAGAAATTGGTAGTGCTGGCCAAAGATGGGAGTGGGGGCAGGAAGCCTGAAGGATATGCTGATTCAGCACATCTGTTTAGTAGCTTTCAAGTGATGGGCTTTTATGGATCCCTGGCCATAACTCAAGGTACCACTGCCTCCCCTGAATGTAGAGAGCCAGGCTGCTTCAGAAATTTGTGATTTAACAACTTTCTGCTCCAGACTGGGGGAATCTGGCCCATAATCTCTGCAAAATCCATGCCGACCCAAAACATTAACTGTCTTTGTGGGTATTGCCTTGCAATATTGCTCTGTTAATGTAAAAGTGCTTTAAAAGATGGTGCTTCTGAGACACTATTGCTAGTTTGTTGTTCAGTATGTGAATCCGTCTTGTGGATAAAGGATTTACTTCTGTACAGAGGTGCGTCTTGTCATAAAGGGAGTTTTTGTTTACGACACTTTACAGAGGATGGATTTTTAACTTTATAACTTTGGATATTTGTGCTGGAAAGCAGATCAGGTACTACAAGTGTTAGCAGGCAGACTAAGGTTACCCTGGGGACAGTCAGCTCTTTCAAATATCTGGGATTTATCCCTGCAGATTGCTGCTAAGAGAATGATCAGGGCAGAGCTTTTATCAGGCCTCTAATATGATAAGCACTGGTCATTCTATAGCTGATTAAATTTGTCACAGCTATTGTTCTTCAAGTATTGTAACATGTTGGAGTGTATCATTAGTACTGCTTTGTTAGTGTAATTACACAGGAGTATAGTAACCACAGAATGGTGTCATCACGGCAGAATATATTGCAGCATTATTACAACAGTGTTAGGAAACTGCAGGCATCTTTACTGTACACTGAGGCTAACTGTGTACCAGAGGGGATCTCTGAACCAGCTCTGAATAAGCTGATGTGGAAGTGCCTACTGGAAGTGGTCTAAAAGCAGGATACATGTTTACTGTATGCAGATCCTTCTGAAAGAGGCTCAGTAGGGCAGCAGTGTTTTTCCAAGCCCAGAGGCTGGACGAGTGCCACTGGAGGGGCTTCACGGCCACCCTCTGACCTGCCTTTGGAGTTGGGTGAAATGAATTCCATTTCTATCCCTCTCCCACAGTGAATTCCCTACCAAATCCTGGTAACTTGGTGTCCCGCTGTGTCTGTAGGAATGAATTTCACCCTAAGTAAACAATACTTATGTCAATTTAGTAAATGAATTGTTATGGCCCAGATTGCACCTGGCTCTATGCCCAGGAGGGGAATAAAACCCTCACCCCTGTGAAGCCTCCCCACATCTTAGTTCAGGGGCTGGGGAGGAGATCAGGGCTTGGAGACTGGTACCCCCCTCCCAATATGAAACATGGGTGAAGAGCCCCAGAAAGCAGGTGGAACCTTGGCTATAAGTTTCCTGGGTAAGGGTACAGTTTTGGGAAGAGAAGAGCTGCACATCTTGTCTGCTAAAGAGAGACCTTAATGCTCATAAGTAAAGTAGTTTTGTGAATATGGCGGTATCATTAAGCAGTTAAACCTTCAACTGTAAATCTGAATTTTTAGTTTTCTACCCCGTTTTTACTGGAAGAATGACCCATTTAAAATTGCTTCATTAAATAAATATAATAAAGGCCCCGAAGCTTTAATTTACATTGAAATGCTGGCAAAACAAACATCATAGAGCATTAGTTTGCCAACTGCAATTCTCCAAAGCATCTCGCTCGTTAATTTTGCCAGCTAACAATATACTTCAGAATTAAGTTTTCATTTCCCCAGCTGTAAGATTGAAATTGTAATTTTTCATAAATTCTCAGACTAGAAAGGGACATTAGCTTAGAAATAGGTTAGCTTTTGCTCTATTTAATTACCTCTTTTGATACAGGTGTTTCATGTAGGTCATGTGTGGCCAATATAATTTTGATCACATGCCAAACATTCCTAATATAAAATAGTTTATTTCTTTATTATTGAACTGTTGTCCAACTGATTAACTAGCTAATTCACCAGCCCTGTTTCATTACTCCAGAAGCAACAGGTTGGCTTTGCCTTTATACCTCTTGGTTCACAGTTCAACACAGAGGTACTTGCTAGAGGGAATTTTACATATAATATGTGCAGCATTAGTTGGTATATTAAATATCAGTATAGTTTCAGGTCCTGATTCAGAAAAACATGCTTCTATATGAAAGGGGCTTGAGCATGTGCATAAGTGCTTTACTAAAGAGAAATGGATTTAGCAAGCGTGGGAGTCTTAAAAATCATAATGAAATGAACACGGGACAGAAGTTGGGGCTGCAGTAGCCTTATGAATTTTGTTGGCCGGTTACTCGCAGTTCAAAGTTATTATTATGTTTTGAATGACTATGTGCTAATCCTTTTTGCACAACAGACTTTTTGGTTATTGTTCAAGTCTACACTATATTCACAAACAAAAATTGTCAGGAAAAGAAACAAATTTTGCTTGAATTTTCATTAATAATTTTTGAATTTTCCTTGCTTCTTTTTTTACAGACAGTTAAATTTCCAGTAGATAAATTTTGGGGGTGTTTGGCTGTGTTGTTTTGGTTCAAGCCCATCTCTAGGACTTGAAGAATTGTTGGCCTCTCTCCTGAGACTTCTAAACAGATGCCACTTAAATACAGCTACCTTTTAGATGTTGAACTTTATCAGACCTCTGAAGAGGCTCAGGTTCTGATTGTACTTTAAGAGAAGGCTTTTGTGAGTTCTTCTTTTGTCAAACAAATCAGGTTGGGACATTTGAAGAATTTAGCTTCAAAATACTTTTTCTTTCCAGTAATAACAACAAGAATTATTTGAGGCTTGATCCAAAGCCCACTGAAGTCAATGGAAAGATGCCCATTAACATTAGTGAGCTTTGGCTCAGGTTTGTAATTATCAGCAAATTTTAAGAAAATCTAGATAAAACTCTTAGAATATTGTAATTCTGTCAACATAAATTTATATGAATAGCTGACTTCAAATCTTGACCAATTTGGCACTTTAGAAAGTAAATCTAAGTACTTGAAACTTGTGAAACAACTGTACAGGAAATATAAAACACGCATTTTATACATATAAATATAATCAGACTTTGACAGCTTTATGTACAGGCATAAAATAATGTTCAGTTATAAGCATCTTGATTTGCATATTGCCCATTAAAATGTGTGTGTTAATTCTTACTGAAAGCAAATGGTTAGAGAAAATAAGCTAGAATTAAAGGACAGAGGCTGTTTTGGTAATCAGAAATCCTTTTAAAATGATCTAATTATCAGCAGTCTTTTTATGATAGTAAACCAACCACTTGTCTATTAAAAAGACTCATTAATAAAACAAGTTCATGTTTTTTTTCTGTTGTGAGGATGTAAATAAATCACTTGTTTGTCTATTTGGTTATCAGTTGGTTCTTTGGATCTACCTATATTTTTACACAGTATATTTTACAATAATTTTCTCAGGTACATCCATGGGGCGCTGTGATTTTGAATTTGATCTTTGTGCCTGGGAGCAGGATCAGAATGATGACTTTGATTGGAATCTCAGAACTGGCAGCATCCTGTATTCTGGCCCTGGACCAGCTGCTGATCATACCTTGCAAGGGCCATCTGGTCATTACATCTTCATAAAGAGCTCGTTCCCTCAGTTGCCAGAGCAGAAGGCCAGGATTTTCAGTCCCAGGCTAAGCAGAAGAAGCAAAAACTGCAAGGTATGTCAAGTCATAGTACTGGGAGGTATGAGCTTGATTTGTAGAATGCTACAAAGTAATAACCACTAATGTGATAGATTATCACTAACATGTTTCTTAAAGAAAACTGGCATGTTCTAAAAATATTATGATCCTGATCCTGGGTTGACCTTGAAACCAATTACCAAACAAACATTTTGTTTCTCATGGTGCAGAAGATTAAAGAAGAATGACTTCTGTTGATGAATTAAGTACTCTGGCAGATTTGGAAGGAATCAGTAGTAGAAGCAGATATTGTCTATTCAGTGGGTGGCTTAGAAAAAGCTTATATAACAAAAGCACTGAAAAACCTGCATATATCTGCTTTGTGCTTTAATGGAGAAATTGAATAGAGGTACATTAACAACTGGATACAAGGGAGTGTAACTAGAAATGGAAGAATACATGATGAGAAGATTCTTCTCACTGATCTATCAGAAATTAAACTAGAGAAGAGTAAACTTTTATTTATCAAAGTGCTACAGCACATTTGTCATTGGTCCTGAAAAGAGCCTGGTAAACATTTGGAAAAAATGGATTGAAAGGCTGTCTAGTGTCAGTGCATCCTCTGCCTTCTTTGCTAAAGTGCTGTTTTGTATCTTCTTCTTAACCCAGTGGGTTAAAACAGATATGCCTGTGGCTCCTGCAGTCACAGTATACTAGAAAGGGATTTCTGGAATTTTGGGGGAAAATGTTTTTATAGTATTACTTGCTCTATTTATATACTGTATTTTCGCACTCATTGACTATTGTTTTCCACAATTTATAAGGTTTTACAATGTGCAGATAAATGGGGTTGTCATGACAGATTAACAGTCTATTAAAAGAGGGTTATTAAAGCATTCTTGCTAACCTAATTGGTAATGCATGCATAACACATCTATTTATCTATTTAAATAATAAACCATATACCCGAATCAAACATAAATATTGCCAACTCTGTGTATTTTCACTAGCAGAAATAATTTTGTTTACCATTGTCTCTCCTTCCTCCTCCTCCTCCTCCTGTAGTTAACTCCTGCCTTCCTTCATGCACCCAAACTTGCACACATGAACATGCATAAAACTACTGGAGGAATAAGGATTTGAGGCCTTTGTAAGAAATATTTTTATGAGACATTCAAAGGAGGAGGGAATGGAAGTTTGAAGGCAGAGCCGGGAAGGGGTTTCCAGGCATAGAGGGTAGGGCCGGCTCCAGCATTTCTGCCGCCCCAAGCAAAAAAAAAAAAAAGCCGCGATCGGCGGCGGCAGTTCAGTGGCAGGTCCTTCGCTCCTAGAGGGAGTGAGGGACCTACTGCCCCCGAATTGCCGCAGGTGCCGCCCCTCTCCCTTGGCCGCCCCAAGCACCTGCTTGTTAAGCTGGTGCCTGGAGCCAGCCCTGATAGAGGGTGGTGTTGAAGAAGGCCGAGAGAAAAGACCGGAGATTAGGGGGTGAAGTTAATTTAGCATTTTGGGTGGAGTAAAGACAAGGTGGAAGATAAAAGGAGATGTGGGCATAGGTAAGAGAAGTCTAAGTTGTGTCCAGCCCTGAAAGTTAGGGGAAGGAATCTAGTGAATCTTGAGTTTAAAAGCGAGCATTCAGGAAATACAATTTCAATTCATAAATGCAAGAGTAAATCACTGTTAGCATGTAAATATCTACCCAGCATACTAGTAGAAATGATGTCAGCCTTTTCAATTTATCCATTTATGTGTACACCTGCTCAACAGTTCTTTGCTGTTCTGATCACAAAACAACCACTCCTCCTCCCATCACCTTGAAGTATCTCCACTACTCATTATATGGCTGGAATTCTTAATCCATCCTCAGACAGGAGCTGAGTTCCAGTCCCTTGATTGAAAGACAATACCAATGCCTGTCTGCTTGCACAAATTTTATCATTTTATTTCATTTTGACCTGTAAAAGAGGGTGTTTCATCTTTTATATTAGAATTTTGCAGAGATTCATTTTGTTTTGCTGATTAACACCTATACAGCTACTTTATCTTAGTTTGATTCCATATAGAAACTAGACATGTCAGGAGGGTAACTATCAGAAATCTTCTTGATGCTGACAAATTTAAATTTGATTTTTAAAGAGCCTTTGATTTGAGCTGATTCTGAGATTCTCTGAGTGTACAGGTGCAGAGCTGCTCTTTGGAACTGAGGCAGTCTAATCCAAACATATTTCTAAATAGGTTTACTGAATTTTTCAAATGGAACCTCATCTCAAACTTTAACCCCTTACCCAGATAGTTCATACTGAAAAAGAGAAAGTGTAATAGTGATTTGGGAAATTTACTTTTAACAGTTTTGGTTGGTTTAATATTTTCCAGATCACTTGATTTCACTTTCTTTATCTTCTTGACAAATCCCAAACCCTTTATAGATAAGAAATTCAGGAAATGTTAAACAAAAATGATCAGATTTTATTATACAAATATAACATGAGTAAATCAGTTTGTCAATAGAGAACAAATAAATTAACCACTAAACATTTAACTTGGAAATTCTGGGCCATGAACTTATGTTTTCCAAATCAGTTTCCTAACAGCCTTCTGAAAAAAGATATATGAAAAAAAAAATCTTCCCCCATATTTGAAAATTTCTGCCTAAATCCTCTTTCTCCTTATGCTCTCTGACTCATAGTCCCACTCCTTTTAACATCTATGTGTAAACAATAAAATATGCTTTGAAGAAATATAGACTAACTAATGATAAATGGTCCATTGTATGAATATTGATTTATATTGTATATTAAGTGCCAGAAGAATGGAGGAGGGTCACAGCTGGCAACAATTAGCTTTTTCATGAATAAATGTGTTTATCAGGTATATAGAATTGCCTTTAATCTTTAGGCAGAAGACTTTTTTCCTATTTTGAAACCGTCAAAGCCAGGTTTGACTTTTCAAGCACTTTTTTGAACATCTCTGCAGTTTTGAAGTTTCCTTTTATACCAGTTCTTCAAGAGAACTCGGGTTTGGATCATATTGGCATGCACACATGGCTGTCTGGCTTTGTGAACTGTAGCCAACTGTATTTTGATGTTCAGAAGTGCTGGTGAGCATCAGTGATTGAGAGGCAAAGTAAACATGGAATGGAATAAAGAATATAATGAAATAAGGATGATAATCTTGTGTTTCACAGAGTACATTGATTGCCTGCAGGGATCAGGAGGGTTTTCTCTCATGCACAGAATTGCATATTTAGCTACATATGTAATAGGGTGGGAATGGGGATACCATTTTCAGTTGATGCCACCGCAAGATGCAGATTCGAATCTCAACTGACCAGTGTACTCCTCTGATATACGAAATCTTATGTTCCACAAAAACTACCTGTTTCAAGGCCCAGGACTGCATCAGAGTAGATACATTTTCTTATTTCTTAGAATGAGCAGGAGTCTAAATTCCTTGGAGTCAGTGCAGAAGCTACTTAAGTATACACATTAGAGCCATAGGTAGAAATCCTGGCCCCACTGAAGTCAATAGCAAAACTCCCATTGACTTCAATGCGCCCACCATTTCAGCCATAGAAGATATGCAAATTGCTAAATGTAAAAGGAGGCAGAAGGCAAGGAAAACACAGTGTGGTTAAAAGGCAAGATATACTCAAGCCAAAACAGTATCCTTCAAAAAGTGTAAAGTGATACGAATAGAAAGGAACACAACTTTATGGCAGGTACACTGTGTAATCTGTCATTAAAATCAGTTACTCTACCAGAGAACTGAAGGATAGTGAGAGTTGAGTCTACATTTTGTCAAGTGCCAAGGTGATCCCATAAATTACAGACCAACAAGTTTTACTTCAGTACCAGGAAATTAGTTGAAAATATAGAACTCATAGTTGTAATTTATTTTAAGAAGTCTTTGATAAATCCATCACAAGAAGCTGGGAAGGAGACTAAGTAGTAGTGGAGTGAGAGGTAAAGTTCTGTCATGGACTAGAATCTGGTTGAAAGAGAACAATGTATAAGAATAAATGCTTCACTGGCAATGACAACATCTTCCCTTCACTGTGGTTCTTCCTTGTACTTTATCTACTGTTATCCTACTTGAGCACTGTCATTATGTTCAATATTCTGTTTTTCTCTTTTCACTTATGAGTCCTTCTATTTTCCCTACTCTCTTTGTAGAGGCTCACTGTGAAGCAATCATACTAGGGTAGGAAAGAACTCTGTGCAGGTGAGGCACTTCAGAGTCCATCAACAACACCATAATTAGCCTGAGAAGAGTCGCACTTGAGTGATTCAAGATACACCCCATATGTTAAAGGACATTGTTTATACATTGCTCCTTGCCCCTGCTGTGTCATCAGTTTTCACAGTTTTCAATTTAAATGTGAAATATGCTCAGAAGAAGTTTACCAGCAGCTCTATAAGCCCTGAAATGTTGGTTTCCAAAATAGCTTTCATTAGTTTACTGAAGGAATAGTTCTACAGATTACTACTAATGATATTTTTCCTTGTGTTTAATTAAAACCCTGGGTAATGAATGATTCAGCAGTTTTGATGCTCTTCTGAGAACTGAGGATGCTTCTGTAGTGAAAATTTAGGGTAATTATAATGACAGAGTATACTTAATGTTCCCTACTGGGTATTTAATGTCATTACTCTTGGTTGCAGATATTATTTTATTACCATATGTATGGAGTGAACATTGGATCATTAACCATCTATCAGGTGACAGCATCAAACCAAGAAAAAGTCCTACTCCACCTAACTGGAAACCAGGGAAACTTCTGGCAGAGAAAACTGTTGCTTCTGGATGCAGATGAGGACTTTCAGATCACCTTTGAAGGGCAAGTTGGGAAAGGATACAGGGGCAACATAGCACTTGATGACATCACGTTCACGAAGGAATGTTTGCCATCACCTGACTTATCAGCAGAACCCACAGCACTACCTTCAACAGGTACATTCCTATTAAATAGACTTAGCAATTTCACAGCATCAGATTCTGGAAAGAATAGCAAACAAGCCTTACTTTGATTTTTCTTTTTGGGTTTTTTTAATGGTCAGAAATGAATATAATTTGAAATAGCTCTTTAGTATGTTGACCAAAGTATTGCGTAGAAGAGCTGTTTGGAAAAGTGAGTCACTGATCTTGAATCTGCATGACATACTCATCTTGAGCAGGACAGACTCACAGGAGTGGTCCCATTTAAGTCAGTGGGGCTATTCACTTGTAAAATCAAGTGTCAAAGGACAAAGAGTGCAAGGGGCTTGCTTCCCTAGAGCCCATATGCAAAGACTGGGCAGAATCCCAATGGGGAGTATAGGTACAGCTTCCTGCTAGCACCTTCCTGGATGCAAAAGGTACATGTGAGACAAGAGGAAGAGGGCAAAAACCCCTCCCTGCCCACTTGCCAGAAGAACTGTTGCAAGGGTGACAGAGCTGCTACTCCAGCATATGCTCCCACTGTAATTAGTGTGCCACCAATCAACACATAGCTTCCAGCATGAACTGAAATTTAAGTCAGAAGCTAACCCTTAATTTCCATCAATTTTGATTGTGAGTGATTCATAGCCAGTGAATCAGGAAAAAGCTCTTCCTGTTTTTAGACAGCTTTTGGCAACTAAGCTCTCAGATGCAATCTATGAATATGCAGCTCTCATTGGGATTTCTGCCATGGCTTGAGGGCAGTATAGGACTCTCAGGATTTTGTATCTTTTGAAGGGGAGGCATTTATAATGGGTTTCCATTGAATTGGGAGCCTGTTATTTTCCTAAATCTGTTTTCAGAAAGCCTCGTTGAGACAGTGAATTGGGATACAATAAGCTGTAATTTTTATTTTATTGATCTTTTGTTTCACATTTGTCCTTTCCATAAGCATAGTAGTTACCATCAAATTGCATAACTACTTGAAAATTATGACAAACACAGTTTAAAACAGTCTAGGCTTGGCTGTGGTAGAAACACTGTACTTTTCCTAGAGAATGATATTTTTCTAATGGTTGATGGTTTGGATTCACTTTCCTCTTTCTTCTCTTTGGGGTGGGGAAAGTTTTTTCTTTCTAAAAGGCCCTGTGATTCTGATCTTCAGCATAATATCCATACTAGAGATGGTGGGAATTCTCTAGATTAAATGAAATGTTGGCAAAATATCCTGTTTTGCTGAGACATTGGTTTCAATGAAGTTTCCATCAGGGATTGGGGGTGAGACAGGAGACGCTCTGTAGCCTGAGGGTGAGGGCATTGGCCTGGGATTCTGCCTGACTCAGAGCAGAGATTTTCATCCTATATCACTCTGACTCCAAGAGAGCAGGGACTTGAACCTGGGTCTCCCAGATCTCAGCCAGTGCCCTAGCCAGACAGGCATACACGAACACACTCTTGCTTCCTGAATTGAAAAGCTCAGGTTTCAAGCTAAAAACAACTGACAATTTAGTTTTTGCAAAAATGGTCAAAATGTTTTGATTGTGTTCCAGCGGAGAATGAAAGCAATTTTGAAACCTCAAATGTTGCTGCAAAACAGAACAGTCATCCTCCAGTCATCTCTAATTTGTATTCCTCTTACTGTCCCCTTCCCAAAATATATATAGGCATAAGATATAGTTCATGCTAACAGTCATGGGTTCTGTGGACACAATGACAGAGTGGCTAGCATTATCAATGACTGGTTGACTGAGGCTGGTTGCAATGCGATCGTAATTGCCATTAGGTACAGAAAGATGGTAGTTGACGTTTGCTATTACTCCATAGTGTTCATTGAAATCATCTGACCTCTGATGCAACATCAACAACAAATTAATTCAAACAAAAGATGTAAAATGTAGTTGTTTTTGTTAAACTGGATTGTTCCATTATTAACAATTAAGAAAGCTCTTTGTCCTTCTTCATGAGGGTGTTATATTCAGTTTACCTACACAATCATTTTGAAAATTGCAGATGGCATGTGTACAGAAATACTATCCCTTTCTATCTCCTCAGGCTGAGACAGAACTGGTCAAAATTCTCCAACATTTTTGATTTTGCAATTAATTTTTTAATTGAAATTTTGATTGGGTGGGGAAACAAACACAACTCAGACATATTTACAGAAATTATTTTTTAACATTTTTCATAGATATCTAGGCTGCAATAACTTCTACAAAGCAACTATACACAAAAAGATGAGAGATTAGGGCCAGGGTGTGGGACAAACTGACTCCTGTCAGTTAGGGGCTGAGGGTGAGCCCTAGGAGGCTATGGCACCTACCTGCCACTTGACTGCCTGATGAGGGGAGAAATTTTAAGTCACAATAAGACCACAATGAGATTCTGCTACCCACACCAGGATGTCTTGGGAGATGCCTCCTCCCCCAGTGTCACTTCCCAGTGCTCCCATGGCCACGCCTGGTGGTAGCAGGCAGGTCATGGACTCTGCACCGGGGAGAGGTAGTTTGGGTTTTGTGGTAAAGTTAATAGAGTGGAATTTTGGGGAGAGATTTTTCCTGGTTCTACCTTAACTTCCTGTGTAGGAACTTTAATATTTACTTAATCTCTCTTGTCTCTATTCCCAATCAATAAAATTAAGGTATTTTCCCATCTCACAAGAGTATTGTGAGGAGGAGTCGATTTATTTGTGTGAGGTGCACAGACACTACACCAGGGGTCGGCAACGTTCGGGACGTGGCTCGCCAGGTTAAGCACCCTAGCGGGCCGGGCCAGTTTATTTACCTGCTAAAGCAGCAGGTTCGGCCGATCGTGGCCCCCACTCGCCGTGGTTCGCCGTCCCGGGCCAATGGGGGCGGCGGGAAGCGGCGTGGGCCGAGGGATGTGCTGGCCGCGGCTTCCCGCCACCCCCATTGGCCCAGGACGGTGAACCGTGGCCAGTGGGGGCAGCGATCGGCCGAACCTGCCACATCAGCAGGTAAATAAACTGGCCCGGCCCACTAGGGTGCTTATCCTGGCAAGCCGCGTGCCGAACCTTGCCGATCCCTGCACTACACTGATCAATACCATGGAAAAGCCTATAGAAACACGGAAACTCGCTATGTGGCTGCTGCTAAAGGATGGTTTTCTTCTTCAGAATTTCATTTACCACACTTTAGGTACTGGGTCAAGCTGGGCTGGAAACTCTATCTAGCACAGTGCATCAAGGTCAGAATTTGGCCCAGGGTGTGCAAGGGTTTCAAAATATATCCTTAATACCTCATCAAATCCTTACAATCCATGCCATTCACTGCTCACTTCAATCACAGCCCAGACTCTGTGGCTTTCATTACAGACAAGATCAATACTTGAAAAGGAAAACTTTATACTATTGTGACCCCAAGAAGTGCATTTGCTGAGGTTTCTAATTCTGTACTCTCTGGTGTTTCTGGACCTGCTGCATTTACAGTAGATGTGAGTCCCTGTGGCAACATTTGAAACTTTAAAAGCTTTGCTTTTAATGGAGAAAGGCTGTTCAAAAATACGTCTATCAAACAAAAGTTATTAAAGCCTAAGAAAAAGCCATGAGGGACCCATTCCTTTGTATGATATGTCCAGGATGTAATCTGTAGAACTTCAGATGTTCACAGCAATTTCAAAGTAACAGTATTGGTGCCTTAGGATTCATCTTAGCTGACATTATGTTTAGAGTTTATGTAAATCTATTTGCCTTTTCTCACCTACAGAATTTCCATTTGTCCTGACCAGAGATTTAAACTCTGATTTCCAAAGGTCCCAGGCTCGACCTGCTATTAAACCATGCTTTTTGCTGCATTATGGACAGTTATGGGGATGGAATTAGTTGCAAGGATTTGGACCCTTGATACCCTTTGACACTGGGCAGAGGGAAACAAAGCAGCACCTGAAACTGTGCAGTTGGGATAAACCAAGACTGAGACATTTAGTCTTGTTTCCATAGTTTAATTTTTTAATGACCAGTGGTGTGTTGTCTGTGTATGCAATGAATGCATTGCAGGCCCCAGGACTGACTGTGTCCACAGGCCAATTCTGTCTGGCCTCCAAATGCACCTGGAGGATGCCATTTTATAGAACAGGAGGAGAGTTGCTCCACCTCAGAGACTGCTAACAACAGGAACAGGGCAACTGAGAAGGAGACAATCACAGGCGTCATCACTCCTGATGCTGCATGGACCAGCTGCAAAGCAGTATGCCCCAAGAGGAGGGGCTGGTGATAGACCAGGGGCAATAGAACCTGATAGACCAAGCTCATATAGCTGACTCCAGAAAGACTGTCTGAAAGACAGGCCACCTTTGCCTTTCTTTGTTTTCCTCCCGATTCCTCTCTCTCATAAGGGAAAGAGAGGGGAAAGGACCTTTCTTTTGTCTGTTTGTTTGACTTAGAGAACGCCTCATGTGCTGCAAACTGGGGGAAGGACAGTATAGATGACAGGCAGGGGGGTGGACGGAGTCCCTATTCCCCACATATGTCAATACCTGGAGACAGATAGTCACAGCTGATAATTTTAAAAGAGAACAGAGGTATAATTCTATAATAAGGCACTAGTCTTCTAAGTATTTAAACTCTGTATTTCCTGTCACTGTTTCTCTCCTTGGTAAATATTCAGTAATATTTAAAGGATGGAGGAGAGAGTTTGACAACTCAAAAAAAAAAAAAGTCATTTTGAAAGCATTGTCATGGACTGCTGACTAACTGCCTGTCCGCATGGCGCTGCTTAGCAACCACCCCAGACTGGCAAGTCTCTCAGAGCTGCTTAGACGGTTGAGGCTCAAACAATAAAGCCTCATTTCGGGGCACTTCTTATCAACTCTTCACTGTATGAATAGTGATGGCTATTGTAGTATCTGGAGCTGTTCACATTCTACAATGGTAGCCTGTGTAGGAAGGCAACACTACTTACTCCTTCCACTGTGGCTTTCTTCGCTTTGGGCTGGATTTGAAATGTACAGTCTGCCTTGGGTAAGGGGAAGCACATAGCTGCAGCACTTCTGGAGCAGCCCTGGAAAAGAACTGTGAC